AACATAAGAAACTGCACCAATGAATCAACGAATGTGTAGACTGCTTTCTATTGATGGTTAGAGAGGACCCAGTTCAAAGGCTCAAGAGCGTTCCATTTCTTAGAACTCAGACACCTGGATTGTACGTGAAACTGCATGCTGAATGAGACACAGTTGCTCATTACTGTTGTTAGAAGTTATATGTTTGACATGAACACTAAAAATAAGGAAATCTAGGACTCTAACCCTTTGCTCAGGCTTTCTGTGATTACTGGCAACATATGATGTTCTGACACAATAGTATCATGATGAAAAGAAAATTCAGTCTTGAGGTTCCTATTGATAATGGCAGCTGGTTATACTTTACCATGAATCACAGCTTGTTCTCGTTATTCACCACTAACTGGGAGGAGGAAGACAGCATCTTTCATGCACTTACAATTGGCTGAAAATTAAATTCCTTGTTTTAAGGCATCAAAACCATTGAATAACTTATATCAATGTCTGACAAGGTAAAGTAATGGATGTAGGATACAGTATTACTTTTAAAATTAACCATCCTTAAAAAAAAAAAAAAAAAAAAAGACAAACTGATCTCCAGAGACTCTTAATATTCCACAGCATGACAGAGAAAATAAAAGAATTTTAAAATAGTAGAGAAAAGAGAATAATCCATCCAAGTGGTGGGGGGGAACCACACAACAAACACATCCCAACTTTAACATTGACACTGACCACCTCTCAGCTGGTCCTTCATAACTTTGGATTCATGAAATCAGAGGTATTAAGCAAAATGCAGCAATCCAAAAGCAGCAACAAGGTCCTAAGAACATGTGCAGATTTGTCTCAAGGTGTCAAAGAGATTAAATCCCAGAACTGTAGGCAGCCAGGGGCAAGGAAAAGGGAGTTTACAAATTTCAACATAAGTGTCAAGCCTGCTCATCTATTTACTTTCTCCAGTTGATATTTCTCCTATATTCCTTCTGCAAGAAATGGCCTCTCAACTCTTGACTTCGAGCACAGTTTTGGAACTTCTGAAAGCCCACAACAGTCATCCTCACCAAGCCTTGCTGTGCATTGCAGTGTACCTTGTGAGCTTGTGAGATACGGAAGACATATAGAAAATGTGGTCCAGGCTTAGCCGGCCTAAAATATACCTGTGCCCTAAGGGCTGGCTGTTGGTTTTTAGAAGTGCCAGTAAGGAGATTAGGTAGAGCCTTGACCTGTTATTTCACTACAAATAAAAAATAAAAACTGTGATGTAATACATGCTACTCTTACTGCAGTAAAACATTTGTAAAGTAAGCAGCCCACAAAGTATGAATCTGACTGGATGACTGACTCAGACATTATTTATACTTTTCTTGTGATTAACTTCTTGCTGGCAACACCATCATACAAAATAAGGCAACATTCAACACTTTCAAGGCAGCATCATTGCACACTAAAATCAAGAATCACAAAATTAGTTATTCTCAGAATAATTACATTAATGTTTCACTGGCACTTTGGACAAGTCTGTGATGTTATAATCTCATCTTGAAATAGTGACTGATTTAAACTAAACATTTGTTTAACATATTGTCATACAACATGGATTTAATAGTAGCTTAAATCTGTAATCTTCATGTTTTTTATTACTCTAACTTTTCATTATCATTTATCTAAACTATGTAAGCATTAAGTCTGTGGGACTATGACCAGTACACCAAGGTCAAGTCCAATATATAAAAAAAAAAAGTTTCCATATTAACAAGTTCTTCAAAATGTGATGTAATTTCCAAACATTCCTCAGGAACGTAATTCTTTTTTAGTGCCATAAATTTCAATAAAACTACTTGCAAAGACTGTATGAGAATAAAAGTGTCCAAGAAACTCAACAGTAATTAGAGTAATAAACCTAGCAAAGGCCTTTATAACAAGGACAGTTACAAGCAATTTTGATTTGACAAATTACATTAAACCAATCTTAAGTCTTTTTTACAGCAGAGTAGCAGGCTTTGGAAGATCACAGAGTCATGTAATGGTTGAGGTTGGAAGGGATCTCCAGGTGCCATCTGGTTCCAACCCCAAAGATGAAAAAGAGAAGCAGATGCTACACACCTTGATATCAGTCAGGTTTTTTTTATTTTTATCTCGTATGCAAAATTCATGGGAATAGTACAAAATTAACTGGAAAACCACATGAAAATAAATAGCAACCTTTATCAAATTGAATAGGTTTATTAACTGAGTCTACTTTATACTTACCTGCTATTTTCATTTGTGATTCCAATAGTGGAATAGACAGGACATTTATGAAATATGAATTGAACTGCAAGAACACTGGAACAGGGATTAAAAATCAGACTGGTCATGAGAAATTGAAAAAGTTATCTGAACAAATTAGAATACAATTTAATAACAATAAAGATGGTCACATATGAAGGAACAGTCAGCTCTGTGAAAACAGAGAGACATTTAGCAGGAAAGTCTTCGGAAACTTTGGGGATTACAAGTAGAATATGAACTAGGAGTGCAACATACAAGACATCTGTTCTGTTTCTGCACTATGGGCAAGCTCAAACCAGAATACCATCCCCATGTGGGC